TTTTCTCCCTCAAGAACTGTTGATAATGGTCATAAATGTCACTCCTGAGGAGCTAACAAGGGCTGAGAGTGAGTGGTCACTGCCTCCTTACAGAAAGCTCCAGGTAATTGGAGGCTATCTTCAAGGTCATCTCGTCCATACAATGACCACAGGTAGGTTTAGAGCTAATGAGGCCAAATGAAAACACTACCTTCCCTGGAGAATTGTTGATATCAGTGATATCTTACTGTAAGAGGTTTACTGATGAATAGATAGATACTGTCCTAAAACTCATGAGCAAGAGTATACAGTTAATGAATGATAAGATGAAACCACTAGAGTACTATTAACATTATAAATACATTTAGTCAAAGTACATGTCTGTGATGATTAAACAAGCCCATGATTGTAGAGAGTGAATGAGTGATGGGAGAGTGATAGCACTTCTCGCAGTATTCTATTTATAGACTATTTATATCACACCGTGTCCTTTTAATGTGGAAAGCAAACTAAAATGCAGGTGTCAACCGTGTATCACTTTGTTGAAACCCGTAGAAATTGTTATTGTGCTGACAATGGTATATCTAGTGTCCAAAATGTATTTGCTAAATAACTTTGATTATAAGTAAAATGATAAACCTAAGTACAAATGGAAAACCTGAAATGACTAGTTCAAGGACAGGCACTCAGATTTTTGGCTTATCACAGAGATGCAACAATGAAGCTGTAAAGACGTAGATAGAACGGAACCTATAACCTATCTTTTTATTTACGACAGCTTACAATGCACCCAAATATTTCTAGGGCAAGTCTTCTAACATCTACAAAAGCAGACTGTGTGAGTTATAATTGGCGAAGCTGAAGGTATTTGAAGTTCATCAACACCACTTGCTTTGTCTACAATTGTGTCTACTCCAGATAACCAACTTAGAGAGGTAAACTTTGCTCCACCACCGACCACAGAGGGTTCCATGGAGTGCAGGGATACCGGTTGATTACCTAAACTGAGTGAGGACATCTGTTTAGTGTTGACAACACAGGCTTATCAAAGGCAGAGAGTGTGTTGTAATCACAGTCATCATCACACATGCCACTCAAACAGATAAATACAGTGCCGTACAATATTGAAACACTGAGGCCGCAACCCATCATTATACTGGTGAAGGTAGCTTATTTATCAGAACTTGGTGCTATTTGTCGATGTGGGTATAACATGATCTTCCCATACAATGAGTCCACCGAGACTCCGTGAGAGAAACATACGGTCCAGTGGGTAGGGTTACGGATCAATCCAGTCACACCTGTTGGGCGCGTCCTCCTCCGCAACTATTGACAATGCATGAATGATATGTCAAAGTCCTTGGAAACTTTATTAATGGGACAGAAACCGTGTCAGAAATATCTGATGTACAGTATATATTGCACCTGTTAAACTTGTATTTAAATTCTTCACGCTGTTTCTTTCAATCATAAATTAAAGAAGCAGCCTCTTCAGATCATGATTTCTGTGAATTACTAACATGTCTATATGATATTCATCTACTACACCCTAGGTCACTGGGGTAGAGTGAGTGAGTGAGTGAGTGAGTTTAGTTTTACGACGCTTTTAGCAATATTCCAGCAATATCACGGCTGGGGACACCAGAAATGAGCTTCACACATTGTACCCATGTAGGGAACAGAACCCGGGCCTTCGGCATGACAAGTGAACGCTTTAACCACTAGGCTACCCCACCGCCCCACCGCCCCCACTGGGGTAGAGGAGCAGCCTAGTGGTTGAAGCGTTACACATAAGGTCAAGGTTTAATTCACAACAATGTGGGGAGACAATTCTGGTCACCCTCAAAGTGATATTTCTGGAAGATTGCTACAAGCAGCATAAAACCAAATTCACTCACTCACTCTAGAAAATCTACCATCTCCTGAATTAGCATGCCACACTGCTTCTGTACTGTCGGATAAGTAACAAATTTCAAAATATTGGTAACAGGATGAAATATTGGTAACAGGATACTGTCAGTGCCCTGGATGTCAAAATGTAACCACTGTCAAGTAGAGAGACAGGCATTCAGTTGGTCAAAGCTATCAGGTCTTTGTAAGTGATATTTATATTGGATCTGAAATTGGATCCCAAATGATAAGATGTGTGACAGAAAAGGAGACTGGTAGCTCGTAACCCCAATCAAATTTGATACACTGTGTCCCTTCATAATGTTAAAGGGGCAGTGGGGTAGTCCAGTGGTTAAAGTGTTTGCTTGTCATGCCGAAGACCCAGGTTCGATTCTCCATATGGGTACAGGGGTGGAAATAACTTTAGACTTGCTAGTGTACTCCGGTACAGTGGCACATGTAAAATCACTTGCCCTGATCAATTTTTCCACTATACTGGCTGTTTTCTTATTGATTTTTTAAAATAAACAACACAATTAACGTTGGAAAGTCAACTGGACACCGGTACAGTTTGATATACAAATTTGCTTGCCCAACAGAAAAAAACCCACTGGACTCGGACGTCGGGCAATGGGTTATTTCCACCCCTGGGGTACAATGTGTGAAGCTCATTTCTGGTGTCCCCCACTGTGATATTGCTGGAATATTGCTAAAAGCAGCGTAAAACTACATTCACTCACTCACCCATAATGTTATGTACCTCACACAAAACAACACTGGGTCCAAACACTCCAAACACATAACACCCTACTCTACTTGATTACAGGAGGGAGTTTGTTCAATCAAAATTCAACAGTTTTCAATTCTTGACCAAAATGTGAAGTGAGCCAAACTAAAAGAGGTAAGGGATCATGACTATCTTTTAGTAGTGAAGACATAGAACACAGTTTCAATGAAACATAAAACATGTTTTGTTCAGTATACATAGTCCTATACAATAATTTACTTCTGAATTCAACAAACATTTTCAATTATGGCACCCTAAATATCTGTGCACCTACCTTTCTCTTAACACTTAACAATATATCATCATCTGCAGTAGTGTATGATAGTGTCTACCTTGATACTGACATTAAATCATACATTCATAATAGTTAATTAAAATATTATGTAGATGTTTAATGCAAAATATTTTATTGTTTTTAGAATGAAGCTTCTGATACCATGACAAAGGACGCGCCTAATTAATAAATTAATAAAAGGCTGAAAATATGCGCTAAATGTGAAAATGAAACCATAAAAGCTCAACCAATCATTCTACCTGTCCATTTCTTTCATAAATACAACAATATCTCCTTCACCATCCTCCTTCTCTGTCAAGGTGTTTGAAATTTATTTGCATTAAGTCGTAGTTTTCACATTTTATTCAGAGACAACAATAAATCACTCTATGTAAATATATTTCCACCACATTGTCCTCTTGTGTTTCCGTGTGCACTGTGTGAGAGATCTACATGTGGACCCATCAACCTGGGTAGTGAGACCAGATAGTCATACCTGAGACAGGTTAACGATTGAGGCGGATCACAGTGGCTTACCTCACAATAGATTGTTAAATCTCAGGCTTCCTGGTGAGATAATGTCATGAACCTGGCACATGAGAAAACCAATCTACATGACAACCTGTCTTCATGGAGTTATGGTCCCAGAGCAAGGAGTGCACTCAATTCTTTTCCAGGATATTTTAGGATTTGAAAATGTACTGCTCTTTTATCATGTAGAAATTATTACTCTGTGAGCTGGGAATATCAAGTCATAAATGTTCACAAGGTATCTGTTCCAGGTGACACAACTTAATGGGGGTCTTAGTTGTGTCAGATCTGAAATACTTGAACACTGGTTCACAGACATGGTCATACATACAAGAAATGTGTAGTGTGAGTGAGTGAGTGAGTGAGTGAGCGAGGTCTTATGCTGCGTTTAGCAATATTCAGACATATCATATGGGACACCGGATTTGGGTTTCACACAATGCCTTTTGTGAATTGAACCTGTGGTTATAATGTGACAAGACAACATCTCCAATATTGAAACGCATATCTGCTGAAACCCAATGACAATTACATTTTAATAAATTACCAAAAGAAAAAAAAAAAAAATCACAAAAGATGAATCTATCGACGGAGGACAACAATGTTTGAGAGTCACAGAGTTTATCCTATGAAGGGTTCAACCTGAACCTAAAATTGTACCCCTCATATTTAGATCAGTATCAGCAGTTGTATCATCCCCGCTCATGCAGGGTACATTATATTTTCATCCCTTAAGTTGCCTTAAAGATTGCTGAGTAAACAGGATATGCTTTACTATTTACCACTACCAGTCAAACAAAGACAGTTGGTCAAGATATAAATTTCAGCTATCTGTTGAACATTTATGAGGGTTACAAGCTTTGAAATCTTGACTAGTGTGATAGCATTAATATCCTGGGTGTTTTTGTACCATGCTTCAACAAAACTGGAGCTGTATTGCATGACAGTCTCCTTCCTACAATATGATATTTGTTACTGCATGTGTTAAGTGAGCTGTACAACATAATATGCTCGGCTCACATCCTGATTGTCTGTGGTGTTCCATCGCAATCATCTCCGTGCAGGGCTTTATGGTGATTTATACTTGACGCTAACCAGAGTATGTGTGTATGCAGGACGTAAATGTAGCCTGAGGGTTAGCGCGGGGAACTATCATGCTGTATCATCCCTGCGAGGCCATGTTTCATGACGGGTTATGATTGATCATAGTTTGAAGTCTTCTTGCAACTTTATCAGCAGCAGGGATAGGAAGGTGTGAAAAACAACAATATGGCAGGACGTTTCATGTAGATAAATGTCTAGTCAAAAGATCAAGCTTGAGAAATCTTCATCAGCTGCTCAATCTTTGAAGTCTCCTAACTGTACATATATACAATAACTGCCTAAATATGAAAACCCTTGCATACTGTCCATTTAAAACAAACTGAGCCTTAATTGTTGTTTTAAAATCATTTATCAGTCTTGAGACTTCATCCTGTTTCATTCCCAATGATGAATGGGAATGTAACATCCTCCTTGTCCTAGCACCTGTCTACTCACCCTGCTGGGTATGCGATGGTGCCAGTGTTTGGGTCACACGTGAAGTTGGCATTGCTGGAGACTGTCAGACCAAGCACACGCTCGAGGCTCACCTGAAACACAAGCTTACAGTTAATACCAAATCTCTGTTATACAGTCATCAAAACTACCACTTTCTAAATACCAGTTGGCTACATTATTTCTTTGAGTGGCAAATTAGAAGTTGGGAAGTACAATATACACACACTTCTGTTTTTTCGTGAGTGCAATGTTTCGATACAGACTCTTGTTCCACTGTCAAGCAGGACAACGGTACAAGAATCTGTATCGAAACGTCATACTCACAAAATAAAAGAAGTTGTTAACCATAAAGTCTGTCTATATTGCACAATTCAAATCATTACTGCTTGACTCGTATTAGATGAGCCTGCGCAGTACACGCGTCTGTGGCAAGTAGGCGGGGCAGGGAGTCTAGACGAATACACTTGGTTGCAACAGGTAGATTGTCGATTAAGCACGTGCATTACATGACTGACCGTGGCGTGAACTCAATACCACTTCTGTTTAACACATGTCTCGTAGAGCGATTTAGTTCAGCAAGACACCATCTTGACACAAGTCAATTTTTGAATGTTTGCAGATCTTAATTAATTTAACATGTCCAAGTTAGGGAAGCATGGGCAAATTGTACACATACTTAGTATGATATAACAATCAAAACATGATTGGCACGAAGAAATTGAACTTTTCAAGTTTTAGACGACAACCTGTTTCCCTCATTTTTCAAATGGAATGTTCTGGAGGGCGTTCCCATATCTGCAAATTGGGGTCATTTGTCAGGTGGTGGCTCATCTAATAGTAGTACATCAGTAACTTGTGTTATTGATTTCTCACTTTACTGAAACCCACAAGCATGAGTACTCAGTGTTGACAAGCCCAGAAAATGTTTAAGGCAAATCAAGGATCAACCAGTTTCTGGCTTTCCAGGGGATTAAACTCTGCAAAACGAAACTGTATCACTTCAGACAAGCTACATGAAATTTCATCCCAGTACAGTGTACTATTGACCTCTACAATGAGGAACCCAGGTAACAGAGCACTAAGCTCACAAAGTCCTACCGAGTCATGACTTCCTTGGAGAGATGGCCACCAGCTGTCATTGTTTCATGCTTCATTCATTGTTACAGTGTACTAAGGTGGTCAAAAGAATGTTGTCGAGTCAGCAGTTTATGTATCTCATCTCTGTTGCTTGAAAAGTTCATTCAAGCCTCCCAACTAAACATGTTTGTTGACACCTCACATTATTTCAGGTTATTATTTTCCCAGAAAATTGCATTCTAAGTGAACTATATCCCATTCACAATTGCCTTTTTGTCTGTGCTGGGTGTGACACCCAGTAATATTCCAGCTGTATCAAATCTGGGCAATACAATCCAGTGATTGACATCATAAGCATCAATCCACCCATTGGAATTTGATGACATGCAATTGACCAACTCACTGGATCTGACCACTGGCTTCATTCAGTATCCTTTTATAACAAGCACATGTTGTGGGGTTTTCTAGCTTATACTTTTTTGGGTGGAAAATATAATACAATAAATATAATTGTGTTTGAATCATTGTGACTTTGATACTCATCCAGTGTACTCTCTTTAAATAACTATTGCTCAAAATAAAGCTAAAATAAACAAGGAAAGTCTCAGAGAAAAAGTTAACTATTCCAAATGTAGTTCATATCGAACCGACGAGATTAAGGAAAATATAAGCCACTCGTATCAGCTCTACCGAACTTCTATGTATTTTTGCTAACACGTAACAAAATCTGTTATACATAAATCATACAATAATCCACTTGTTAATTGTTATTCATCATGGAAATGTATTATACATGGTAGATGTTCTACCTTGTTCAATACACACAGAGTCGTTACATGCATGGGCAACTATTTCGGATAGCTTTAAGCCAGGTGAGAGATCAAAGGACTCTCAAACGATTTTCCACTCATAAACATTACGCACATGGACTAAGTGTGTCAGGGCTCGGAGGTTATCTGAGCTATTTACTTCCATTATGTGAAAGACTTTGAAACCATCCCTGAATTCAAATGCTTTATTTTCTGTTCAAACACCTTCTATTTCAAGGTATGCAACAGGCCTGTTTTGTTCAGCAACACACAGATGGAGGGTGATGTTTGCCAAGATACTTGAAGAGGTTAGAGCCAAGATGCTGAGATCTACTACACCTCCAACTGCCACAACAACGTCGAGAGTACATCGAGGTGTTTCGGGGAACTTGATAGGAAAGTTACCCTGCAACACCACAGGGGCAACTGATGCTCAGTCTGAGAAAATATATAATTTTCAAAGGAGCAAGCAAGTACATTTAACTGAAAAAAAAAGCCAGATTAAGAAGGGACTTTTCACGCTGTAAAAAATCTAGACATGCTTCAATCAGAGCTAGAGCATTTCCGTGATGGGATAATAATATGGTTCAGGAACTGTGCACAGACTACACATCTGGTTAGGGGACATCATAAGATTGTGTTTACACTATGTCGAAGTTGCTTACTCCAAAATCTTTAAAAATCTTACTGGAAGTTACTTCTAGGGAGTTTCATTCAACAAATTTATCAGGATTGTCATCAAAAGTCATCGCTGTCTGCGACTTCTAGTAAACTCTCTGTCAATCAAGTGATCAGTGTGAATACACTAGTCCATATATGTGATGATCTAAGTCTACTGAATGACAAAATATAATGCCAAGGTACTCCAAAGAGTTTGGCACAGACTTCAGGCTGCAGATATTTACCACTCTGGTGATAAACCCTAACTGGTAAACTGATGCTTCAGACTGTTTGGGGTCGACTAGAACATTTACCTCTAAGGTGGTTCAGAATACCAGAGACCCCCAAGGCCACACTGATGTTTGAAGATTTCATGGTAACAACCATGTTTCAGCAAAACACTTTTGGCACGTACTAGTAGCCTGAAGCAATCTGCATCATGGCAAAAGCATTTTCAGACAAATTGAATTTTTTAATTTGTTCATGTTTCCATAATTATTATCACTTTGTAAATAAGAGCTGAGTGAGTGCGTAAAGTTTTACGTCACTTTTAGCAATATTCCAGCAATATCCTGTCTGGGGACAGCAGAAATGGGCTTCTCACATTGTACCTATATGGGGAATCGAACATACCGGTAGGTCTTTTGCATGACAAGCAAACACTTTAACCAATAAGCTACCCCACAACCTTCTTTAGAGGGCTGAGAAGAAACATGCAGTTTTACTGAACATGGATCTTCTCTCTAGGATATACATGAGCCATCATTTATAATGACAAAGGGTATTGAGTATAACCAGGAAGTAAAACAGGATAGTAGGGATTCATCGACCTTGGAAGACCATAGATCCCGTGTGGCAGTGGCCATCTGGTTGTACAGACCTACTGTAAGGGGAATATCCGACCCTGTTGCAGTGGATGCATGCATAGATGGCGTCTGCTGCTGCATGGGTCTGGTGCTGACAAATCAAAGAGTCTCCATTAACTGAGTGATGGTGGCAGCCAGTATGCTGACATGAAAGGTGAACATTGTTGCAAGGAAACCAGCACCAAAGACTAGATGAATCATTAGATCCTACAATTACCATGGACTACTTCATCGTGATAAATATGGTATCATTAACAGAGGCGTTTGATTAAAAGTCATCTCCATAATTTTCAATTGGGATTACTCTTAATGAAGAATGCATAACAGATCTTCATGATTAAATCAAGGAAAGTTCAAATTATACATGCAACACAACATTCACTGATTAGGTTTCATAATTAATAACCACGTTCAGAGGGAGTGAGCATGGTTCTAATAAGCCATGTTCACAGCAGATGACCCCAGAAATGGAATTCACTCATTCAACTATGTAGGGAATCAAACTTGGGCCATCAGTGAGTGAGTATGGTTTTACGCCGCTTTAAGCAATATTCCAGCGATATCACAGCGGGGGACACTACAAATGGGCTTCACACATTGTACCCATGTGGGGAATCGAACCCGGGTCTTCTGCGTGATGAACTAAAGCTTTAACCACTAGGCTACCCCACCACCCCTTGGCCATCTGTGTGATAAGTGAATGCTTTAACACAAGGCCATTCCATGTTCACGTATATGCAGACGACAATAAATGGATCACACTTCTGAGAAATAAACGAAGCACAAATCGACATTCATCAGTGAGTAGGTACTGAAAATATAAAGTCTGCTGTCAACTTCACTATTTCAGGACCTTGAGATATCTCAAAAACTGATCAGCAACAGCCACAACTCCTTTCATTTGTGAAGCGACAACAACAAAACTTCAATATTCTATTGACTGTAAACACATGAACATGTTGTTCTTCAACAATAAAAATTATGCATATCAAAATCTCTTTGATTATTTTGAAGAAATTTTGAACTGTTCAGTGACCTGAGTGTTGGCTTTGTGATAGACTTTTTGCTGAACATTTCAAACCACACAATGCATACATTTAAGTTAAAGAAATTTAATTCCCTATTTATTGAATTCATCTGAATATACATGTAACAGTTGTCGAAGTATTTACTGTGGTGCCAGATTGTTACAACATCAATATCGCAAACACATTCTCGAGGCAGAGCTGATGTAACAACATTGAACAAATATTTCTCAATACGTTAGGCAGAAATATGGATGGAATATCGCAATGTAAATGCTGGCTAATGTTGACTTTACATTAGATAAATGTTTGCCTGGCACAAACAGATGAAACCGATCCACTCCCGACAGAAATGCCAACCCTATTGTCAGCAACACGACCATGTAATAATGTCCTCATTGAAAATTTACTGCATGAATTGTCCGGTCACATGGGTGAGTTTGTGACAGCGTAGTATCTCTGTAGGATGGTGATCAGTTACTGGATAGGTATGCATGCATGTATCCCATAATACTCTTACACTGCACTGTTCAAAATTCAGGAGGGGGTGCTGGGTTTCGGGGTGGTTGGCGATGGGTGGGGGTGTTTGAGAGGTGGAGACGTGCTGCTGCAGTGTTTGAATCTTGGGCCTCCTAACTGTTCATCCTTTTACGTC